ATACACGTATGAATGTAGTCACGAATGAAAGTAGTTTGTTAGATTATGTATTGTGGATAAAAGGTTGATGGGTAGCTCCAGGAAGTACATGTTTTAAAGAGGCAACTGAATATATCAGATCATTATAAGTTTTAACTATCAGTTTAGAGTAAGAGGTAGATGGGAAAAAGAGGAAGGTCAACAACAAGTAAGAGGGAGGTGAAAGTTTATAACTAAGGGAGGAGGAAGTTCGGCGGAGATATAAGCGACTATTGGCAGAAGTGGGCTAGAGCAAAGATGATAGTGGGGGGGTTGAAAAGGTTGGAATAGTTTTTTAAAAAAGCAGTAAAAGAATGTGGGGCAGAATTTTGTGGTTATAGAGGTGGGACAGGAAGAAAGAGGAGTGATTGGTGGAATGTTGAAGTAAAGGGTGTGATAAAAGAGAAAAAGGTAGCTTACAGAGTTTTTAACAAAGCAGAAGTGATATAAGAAGAGCAGAGATATGGAAGTAAAAGAAAGGTGAAGAGGAGAGGTGAGAGTAGTGCAAAAGGAGAGCAGATGAAAGAGTGGAGAGGCACAGTCAAGAAAATTTTAAAGAAAATAAGAAAAAATTTTGAGTGAGTAAACAAGTTAAGAAAAGCCTAGGGAAAGTATGGATTTGTCCGTTTAAAACCAGTAGGGGAGTTAGTAGATGGGGAGAGGGAGGTATTAGGTAGACGGCAGAGAATATCATTGAGAACTTTTATATGTTGAGAAGAAAGGAGCGGTAATTTCAGCACGGCCAGGAGGTAATACCATCTTTAGGAGTAAGAAGACAGAATGAAAGTGTGGAGGTACGTGAGGCATTACGTAGAATGAAAGGGGGTAAAGCAGCTGGAACTGAGGGATCAGACAGAAATGTTAAAAGCAGGGGGATATAGGTGATGAGTGGTTGGTACTTTTGTTTAATAAATGTATGAAAGAGGTGAAGGTACCAAGGATTGTGAGAGCATGTAAAAGACCCTTTAATATAAAGGGAAAGGGGACAAAAAGATTGTAAAATTAAAAGAGGAATAAGTTTTACTGAGTATCCATGAAAAGTATACGTAGGTTGTTATAATTGAAAGAATTAGAGGTAAGACAGAATGTAGAATTGCGGATGAGCAAGGAGGCTTCAGAGTGGGTAGGGATGTGTAAGAATCAAGTGTTTTTACATTGGAAGCATATATGTGAACAGTATTTAGATAAAGTAGGAAGTTTTTATTGCATTTAATGGAAAAAGAATTTAGGAAAAGGCATATGGATAGAGTGGATAAGGAGCAAGTGTGCAGATGTTGCAAGTTTTATGGAATAGGTGGTAAGTTACTAAATGCTGTAAAGATCTTTATGAGGATAGTTTAGGCATCCGGTTAGGGTGTATAGACGAGAGGGAGAATACTTCCGGGTAAAAGTAGGTTCTTAGACGAGGGAATGTTATTGTCACCATGGTTGTTTAATATAATTTATAAATGTGGTTGTAAAAGAAAGTAAGATGCTAGGTGTTCGGGAGAGGGGTAGGATTAAATTATGGGGAACAAATTCAAAAATGGGAATTGACACAGTTACTTTTTTGCTGATGATAACTGTGCTTATGGGAGATTCTAAAGAAAAAAATGCAAAAGGTTAGTGGATGGTTTGAGAATGTTTTGTAAAGGTAAAGTTGAAAGTGTACATAGAAAAAGAGTAAGGTGATGAGGGTATCAAATGATTTAGATAAAGAAAAATTTGATATCAAATTGGGGAGGAGGAGGATGGAAGAAGTTGAATGTTTTTCAGATACTGGGATTTGATGTGGTCGGCGGATGGATTTATGAAGGATGAGGTTAATCATCAATTGATGAGGGAAAAAAGGTGAGTGGTGCGTTAAGGTATATTTGGAGTCAAAAAAAGTTATCAATTGAGATGGCAAAGAGGGAATGTATGAAAGTATAGTAGTACCAACACTCTTATATGGATGTAGAAGCTTGGTGATAAATGCAGCATCGAGAGACGGTTGGAGCAGTGGAGATGTCCGTGACTAAGGGCAATGTGTGGTGTAAATAGTATGCAGAAAATTCGGCGTGTGGAAATTAGGAGAAGGTGTGGAGTTAATAAAGCATTAGTCAGAGGCATAAAAGAGGGTTTTGAGGTGGTTTTGGTCATTTAGAGAGAATTTATCAAAGTAAAATGACATGGAAAGCATATAAATCTATAGGGGAAGGAAAGATGGGTATGGGTGCGTGCCCTCGAAAGGGTGGAAAGAGGGTAAAGGAGGTTTTTGTGGGCCGAGGGGTGGAGACTATCCAGCAAGCGTGCGTGGAGCGTGTTAGATATGATTAATTGAGACGAATGAAAACTTGGACCTGACAATCAGTTGGAGTGTGAGCAGGAATATTTTAATGAAGGGATTCAGGGAAACCGTTATTTTCATATATCGGACTTGGTCCTGGAAAGGAAGTACAATGCCCGCACTTTTAAAGATGGTTTGGGGTATTTGGGATTTTTGGGGGAAAGTTTGTTATCTTTTTACTAATCTTTTAAAAATGTTATTTTTTGGGCACCCTCGCAAAAAGGGGGATAATTTGAAATTTTGAAAGTGTTGAATGATGAAAGATTTTATTTTGGGGTTTTTTTTTTCTTTTTGGTCCCCCTGCCTCGTGGAGACGACCGACTTTTTGGAAAAAAAAATTATATATATATAAAATTATATAATTATATGAGAGAGATAGAGAGATAGGACGAGAGAGAAGATAAAGGGTTAGAATAGAGAGAGAGAGAGAGAGGAGAGAGATAGAGAGAGAAATAGAGATAGAAGAGAGAGAAAGAGAGATAGAGGGAGATTTGAAGAGATAGAGAGAGAGAATAGGAGGAGAGAGAAGAGAGAGGAGAAAGGATAGAGAGAGAAAAGGGAGATAGAGAAGGGGTAGAGAGGATAGAGATAGAGGAGAGAGAAGAGAGAAGAGAGAGATAGAGAAAATGAGGGATAAGAGAGAAAGAGAGATGAGAGAGATAGAGAGAGATAGAGAAGATAGAGAGAGATAGAGAGAGTAAAGAGAAGAGGAGATAGAGAGAGTAAGGGGGGAGAGAGGAAGAAATATATATAATTATATATATTATATATATATATTATAATTTATTATTTTATATATATATATATATATATAATATATATATATTTTATAGAGATAGAGAGAGAGGGGAGAAGAAGAGAGAGAGAAGAAGGAAAAGAGAGAGAGAGAGAGAGAGAGAGAGAGATGGAGGGGAATAGAAGGAGATAGAATAGAGAGAGAAGAAGGATAGAGAAATAGGGAAATAGAGAAAAGAGAGAGAAGAGAGATAGGAGAGAGAGATAGAGAGAGAGAGATAGAGAGGAGAGTAGAGAAGAGAGAAAAGGGGAGAGATAGAAGAGTAGAGAGAAGAGATAGAGAAGAGAGAGATAAGAGAGAAGAGATAAGAAAGGAATGAGAGAGAGAAAGAGAGAGAGAGTAAGAGAGAAGATAGAGAGAGAGAGAGAGAGAGGGGGAGAAAAGAGGAGAATAAGAGAGAAGATAGAGAGAGAGAGATAGAAGAGAAGATAGATAGAGAGAGAGATAAGAGAGAGAATAGAGAGAGAGAGATAGAAGAGAGAGATAGAAAGAGAATAGAAGAGAGAGATAGAAGAGATGAGAGAGAGAATAAAAGGAGATAGAAAGAAAATAGAGTAGAGAGATAGAGAGATGGAGAGAGAGAGAGAAGAAGAGAGAGAGAAGAGAAGAGAGAAGAGAGAAGAGAAGAGAAGAGGAGAGAGAGAGAAGAGAGATAAAAGAGATAAAAATAGATAGAAAATAGATAGATAATAATAAATAGATAGTGATAATTTTTATATATTATATATAATATATATATAAAGGAGAGAGAAAGAGAGAGGAAGAGATGGAGAGAAAAGAGGAGAGATGGAGAGAGTGGAGAGGGGGTGGAAAGAGATGAGGAGAATGGGGGAGAGTGGAGAGAGAGATGGAGAGAGAGAGGGGAAAAGATGGAGGAGAATGGAGAGAGAGAGGGAGATGGAGAGAGGAAAAGAGAGTGGGAGAAAGAGGAGAGATGGAAGAGAGGGAGAGAGATGGAGATAGATAGAGAGAAGAGAATAAGAGAAAAGAGAGAGAGAGAACGCTCTTAGTTTCCCAATAAACCACACCAAAGACAGACAGACAGACACACAGCACAGAAAGACAGACCAGACAGACAGACACACATTAGGAAAGACCCCAGCTTTAATGACAAGCTAAGAGTGTTACCTACATCACCCCATTTGAAGCTTTTAAAATTTAAAAAAGTTTTAAAAAGGGGCTGTTTTAAAAACAGTCTTGCTTGTAAATAAATTTTAGGAACCCTTTAATTTGTAAATAGCTTTTCAATAAGTGGGACCCCTTAAAACCAAAACCTTGAATAAGGGTATGAAAAGCAAAAAAAGGGAGAAAAGCTGGGTCTTTTATAGCTAACGAATAAAAAGCATTTCATATAAAATTTGACCATTATTAAGATGCTCTCAAAAACTTTTCATTTACATGGTTAAAACAATTGTGGAAAATTTATTTGATCTGAGGTGTTTTTTATTCATCATTTTAAATATGGGAAAAAAAAAAGCCAGAAGCCCAACAAAAAGGTCGTACCTGCAAATTTTCACTATTTACTTTTTAGCACAAAAACGTCATTACTTACCCTAGCTGTATTTATAAAATGTAACTTAAAAAAAAAGGGGTTTATGAAACCGTTTGTCAGACTTAAGTCCCGGGAATGTAATGTACGTGCTGCACTGGAAGGAGGGGGGGGGATACTGGGATTTTGGTGCCCTACGGCTGTATTTTTGGCATGCCCGGGGAAAAAGCGAAGTGAGTGATGGTGAAGTTTCTTTTTTTTGGGAACACCCGGTGGGGGACGGCCCATTTACAAAAAATTAAAAGCATGAAGGAATATGGAGAATCATTTTTGAGGAAAATTACAAAGCAGCTAATAGTACATGTTCTTAATAATGTACAGAAACTCACTCTGCATTACTTCCTTGAAGACCCAATATTCATCTATTTCACAGTCACCTTATCCAAAGGAGGTGAGGTTCAATGTGTTTCATCCCCTTTTTTTATCATCCCTCTTCATCATCACCTCATCATCATCATCGTCATCATCCTAAAAAAGATTAAATTTAAAAAATAAATAAATGCATTATACAAAAACTAAGTGCCTGTACAAGCCAAGTTAAACCACCAACATGATAAATGCATTAGACCAGTTTCTCCACAACAAAATTTAAAAAAAAAAAAAAAAAAAAAAAAAAAACTAATATACTTTTACCAATTAAGGCTATTATACCTGAATAAAGCAATAATTTTTTTTTTTTTGGCCAGAAAATAAAAACTGATTTCTACAATATATTTAAGAAACTGATAGCACTCGAACATCACCTAAAGCATAAATGTATATGAACAAGACTGAACTCATGGAAATTAACTGTGATTAAAAGATATCACTGGAACAGTGTGTAAGCCTTCCACATTTGTCACGGCCAGATTTTCATGCACCCATTTCCCATCTGTTCAGTTCTTGATCTAAGGGCTACCTGATGTACGCCACCTCAATAAAACAAAAGTGTCAATTCAATTTCCATTCAATTTCAATGTCATGCAGATAGCCAATAAAAGAATACAGAAAAGAGGATATGATCACAAAATACTATGAATAGATTACTACTATAATCAAAAAGAAGCGCTAAACCACAAGGGCTATACAGCGCTGCAGGGCAGGAAGGAAGCGGGGGTATCAGGTGGCAAAAGGGAGAGGGACAATTAGTAGGTTACGGAGAACAGCGGGGGGAGTGGATAGTGCAGGGGTTTGGAACAAATGAGAACAGGCTTTCAGGGATGGAACAAGAGCAAGGAAAAATGGTTGGGAATTACACACCTAAATGACCCACAAGGATAACCCAAAACATTTATTCAGTTTAAGTGATAAATTGGAAGGGGGTCGAGTAAAGTCTACAGAAAAACTTCATACCAAGGTTAAATAAGTAACATCTCAATATTATAGTTGGTCAAACATAAGAGATCAAAGCCCAAAAAGGCTATGCAAACGAGTCAAAAGATGTACACAAGATACAATACAACAAACCTGTATGCAAGTATCGATGGTAAATTGTGATGCGGCTGAAGCCTTGTTCACTTTATCCTCCAACTTTTCTAAGTAATCATCGCCATTATCATCCAATTCATCCTCATCACTCTCTAGGACTTCTGTGGTCAAAATAAAAAACTGAATTATCAGAAGCTGAAAAGTGAAACATAGAACATGATTAGAAGTTTTAAACATTCATAGAACAAAACCAATGTTCTCAAGTTTCCCACCAGACCCAACTTCACGGACAGCCAGGAGACTTGATATTTTATCCCTACATCATTGACAACTAATAGCATCAATATAGCCTGAGTTTTCAAGTCATACAAGCCAACCAGCTGTCTGGCCAGTCTGAAGGCGATTTTAATACAATATCATACTGCTATTACTTAATATAAACCATGGTACGCGTGGGGCTTGACTCACTTGCCATGAGTTCAAGCTCCACCCGTACCACGGTTTATTATAACCATAGTGCTAGGTTATAATAATAATCATCTGTCTTGTCTGAGAGAGGCTCCTCCCACTTTGTAACAATACCAAGTGGAGATTTTAGATTTTTTTCTTTCAACAAGTCGGACGTCTCCCACCAAGGAAGGGCAACTCAAAAAGGAAGAAAAAATCCCCAAAAAGAAAATATTTTCATCATTCAACACTTTCACCTCACTCACACATAATCACTGTTTTTGCAGAGATGCCCAGAATACAACAGTTAAGAAGCATATACATATAAAGATAAACAACATATCCCTCCAAACTGCCAATATCCCGAACCCCTCCTTTAGAGTGCAGGCATTGTACTTCCCATTTCCAGGACTCAAGTCTGGCCACATAAAAATAACCGGTTTCCCTGAATCCCTTCACTAAATATTGCCCAGCTCACTCCAATAGCTCGTCAGGTCCCAAATACCATTCGTCTCCATTCACTCCTATCGAACATGCTCACGCACGCTTGCTGGAAGTCCAAGCCCCTCGCCCACAAAACCTCCTTTACCCCTTCCCTCCAACCTTTTCGAGGACGACCCCTACCCCGCCTTCCTTCCCCTATAGATTTATACGCTCTCCATGTCATTCTACTTTGATCCATTCTTTCTAAATGACCAAACAACCTCAACAACCCCTCTTCAGCCCTCTGATTAATACTTTTATCAACTCCACACCTTATCATAATTTCCACACTCCGAATTTTCTGCATAATACTTACACCACACATTGCCCTTAGACAGGACATCTCCACTGCCTCCAACCTCCTCCTCACTGCAGCATTTACAACCCAAGCTTCACACCCACATAAGAGAGTTGGTACTACTATACTTTCATACATTCCCTTCTTTGCCTCCATAGATAATGTTTTTTTGTCTCCACATATACCTCAACGCACCACTCGCCTTTTTTCCCTCGTCAATTCTATGATTAACCTCATCCTTCATAAATCCGTCCGCCGACACATCAACTCCCAAATATCTGAAAACATTCACTTCTTCCATACTGCTCCTCCACAATTTGATATCCAATTTTTCTTTATCTAAATCATTTGATACCCTCATCACCTTAGTCTTTTCTATGTTCACTTTCAACTTTCTACCTTTACACACACTCCCAAACTCGTCCACTAACCTCTGCAATTTTTCTTTGCAATCTCCCATAAGCACAGTATCATCGCAAAAAGTAACTGTTAATTCCCATTTTGTATTTGATTCCCCATAATTTAATCCCACCCCTCTCCTGAACACCCTAGCATTTACTTATTTTACAACCCAGTAGGGGAGTTAGCAGATGGGGAGATGGAGGTTTTGGGTAGATGGCGAGAATATTTTGAGGAACTTTTAAATGTCGACGAAGAAAGGGTAACTAATTTCATGCACTGGCCAGGGAGGTATACCATCTTTTAGGAGTGAAGAACAGGATGTGAATGTGGGAGAGGTGCGTGAGGCATTACGTACAATGAAAGGGGGTAAAGCAGCTGGAACTGACAGGATCATGACAGAAATGTTAAAAGCAGGAGGGGATATAGTGTTGGAGTGGTTGGATTTTTTGTTTAATAAAGGTATGAAAGAGGGGAAGGTACCTAGGGATTGGCAGAGAGCATGTATAGTCCCTTTATATAAAGGGAAGGGTGACAAAAGAGATTGTAAAAATTATAGAGGAACAAGTTTACCGAGTATCCCAAGAAAAGTGTACGGTAGGGTTATAATTGAAAGAATTAGAGGTAAGACAGAATGTAGGATTACGGATGAGCAAGGAGGTTTCATAGTGGGTAGGGGATGTGTAGATCAAGTGTTTACATGGAAGCATATAAGTGAACAGTATTTAGATAAAGGTAAAGAAGTTTTTATTGCATTTATGGATTTAGAAAAGGCATAGGGGAGCATGTGGCAAATGTTGCAAGTATATGGAATAGGTGGTAAATTCCTAAATGCTGTAAAGAGTTTTTATGAGGATAGTGAGGCTCAGGTTAGGGTGTGTAGAAGAGAGGGAGACTACTTCCCAGTAAAAGTAGGTCTTAGACAAGGATGTGTAATGTCACCACGGTTGTTTAACCCTTTGACTGTCGAAGGGCCCAATCCTGAAGTTGCTCCTGGTGTCGCAAAATATTCGAAAAAAAAAAAAAATTATTTTTTCTTATGAAATGATAGAGAATCTTTTCCCGATCGTAAAGACACCAAAAAAACGAAATTTGATGGAAAACTGACGGAATTACGCTCTCGCGAAGTTAGCGACTTCGGCGATATTTAAAAATCGGCAATTTCGCCCACTTTGAGCCCTATTTTCGGCTAATTCCGTTATTCCAGTCAACCAAACTCATAACTATTTCTTCAGAACTCTATTTTTTCTATCGATTGAGCACAAGAAACTGCCCATTTACCGATTTCAACTACCCAATAACATGGTCAGAAATTTGCAATTTGGCCAATTTCACGAAAATTAAAAAATACGACAATTTCAAAATAAGGTCCAGAATGAACAATCCAGACATTCCTGGCTCTAAAATAAGATTTTCTTTGTTCATCAGTCATGTCTCCAGGTCCCTGTGATATTACTCTTGCTTTTTATTTTGAAATTTTATTCAAACAAAAAATAGAAGATTTACTGTTATGCAGACTACTGCAATACTGTAATAATTACATCAACCCATTCATGACTGCGTATTAGAATGGCTATTTGGACATTTATTGGACAATGACATCATTTGTTTACTTTTGAACATCGGCAAAAATCAAACATTTCCTGTACTTTGTGCTCCATTTCCAGGTTCTTTTTATAGTAAAATTAATCAAAATCACCTCCATTTCTATAATATAGTTTCCATTCTATCAAATGAGACCATGAAAACGAGAATACAACCACAAATACTATACGAAAATAGACCACAAAGTCGGCATTTTAATTAAAAAAAACTGTCGGAGTTTTTTTTTTCTCATTATGCACTGCGTGCTCCAGGATTTTTTTTATGTGGTGCACACTGACCACACAGACCCATTCTCTCACATGTGGGCCTACTAGCTTTCTCCTGCCTGATTTGAAGCCGCTAGAATTTATGAGTATATATACGTCAAACACGGTACCTCACAAACGTATATATACGGCCGCGACAGTCAAAGGGTTAATATATTTATAGATGGGGTTGTAAAAAGTATATGTTAGGGTGTTCACGAGAGGGGTGGGATTAAATTATGGGGAATTAAATACAAAATAGATAAGGTTAAAAAGGCTAAAGAGGTCTTTGTGGCATTTATGGATTTGGAAAAGGCGTATGACAGGGTGGATAGGGGGGCAATGTGGCAGATGTTGCAAGTGTATGGTGTAGGAGGTAGGTTACTGAAAGCAGTGAAGAGTTTTTACGAGGATAGTGAGGCTCAAGTTAGAGTATGTAGGAAAGAGGGAAATTTTTTCCCAGTAAAAGTAGGCCTTAGACAAGGATGTGTGATGTCACCGTGGTTGTTTAATATATTTATAGATGGGGTTGTAAGAGAAGTAAATGCGAGGGTCTTGGCAAGAGGCGTGGAGTTAAAAGATAAAGAATCACACACAAAGTGGGAGTTGTCACAGCTGCTCTTTGCTGATGACACTGTGCTCTTGGGAGATTCTGAAGAGAAGTTGCAGAGATTGGTGGATGAATTTGGTAGGGTGTGCAAAAGAAGAAAATTAAAGGTGAATACCGGAAAGAGTAAGGTTATGAGGATAACAAAAAGATTAGGTGATGAAAGATTGAATATCAGATTGGAGGGAGAGAGTATGGAGGAGGTGAACGTATTCAGATATTTGGGAGTGGACGTGTCAGCGGATGGGTCTATGAAAGATGAGGTGAATCATAGAATTGATGAGGGAAAAAGAGTGAGTGGTGCACTTAGGAGTCTGTGGAGACAAAGAACTTTGTCCTTGGAGGCAAAGAGGGGAATGTATGAGAGTATAGTTTTACCAACGCTCTTATATGGGTGTGAAGCGTGGGTGATGAATGTTGCAGCGAGGAGAAGGCTGGAGGCAGTGGAGATGTCATGTCTGAGGGCAATGTGTGGTGTGAATATAATGCAGAGAATTCGTAGTTTGGAAGTTAGGAGGAGGTGCGGGATTACCAAAACTGTTGTCCAGAGGGCTGAGGAAGGGTTGTTGAGGTGGTTCGGACATGTAGAGAGAATGGAGCGAAACAGAATAACTTCAAGAGTGTATCAGTCTGTAGTGGAAGGAAGGCGGGGTAGGGGTCGGCCTAGGAAGGGTTGGAGGGAGGGGGTAAAGGAGGTTTTGTGTGCGAGGGGCTTGGACTTCCAGCAGGCATGCGTGAGCGTGTTTGATAGGAGTGAATGGAGACAAATGGTTTTTAATACTTGACGTGCTGTTGGAGTGTGAGCAAAGTAACATTTATGAAGGGATTCATTGAAACCGGCAGGCCGGACTTGAGTCCTGGAGATGGGAAGTACAGTGCCTGCACTCTGAAGGAGGGGTGTTAATGTTGCAGTTTAAAAACTGTAGTGTAAAGCACCCTTCTGGCAAGACAGTGATGGAGTGAATGATGGTGAAAGTTTTTCTTTTTCGGGCCACCCTGCCTTGGTGGGAATCGGCCGGTGTGATAATAAAAAAAAAAAAAAATAAATACAAAATGGGAATTGACACAGTTGGTTTT